AGGCGGCTCCCGTCCCCGCTGTGCTTCTCGCCCAAACCGTCTTTGGCAAACGTGGGTTTGTCATCTTCACCCACCAAGGAATCCCGCCCTTGCTGTGTGCAGGCGGACATCATCGCCTTCTCCTGTTATTCCTTGGCCTGCTGCCCCGTCGGCCGGGCGGATTGCAACCTTCATTGAAGTGGCAGCATCCAAAGAAATAGGTGGACCTTCTCAATGCCTTGCCAACGGCCATCTTGTTTGCATCGCTGTTTTCGGGTTTGTCATCTTCACCCACCAAGGAATCCCGCCCTTGCTGTGTGCAGGCGGACATCATCGCCTTCTCCTGTTATTCCTTGGCCTGCTGCCCCGTCGGCCGGGCGGATTGCAACCTTCATTGAAGTGGCAGCATCCAAAGAAATAGGTGGACCTTCTCAATGCCTTGCCAACGGCCATCTTGTTTGCATCGCTGTTTTCTGATGTGGTTTTGCCAGCAGATAACAAGCTGCTGCCTGAAAATTGTAACTGGGAAGGCAGGCAGTCTCTATGGAGCAGCTTTCCTGAAAGCTCATGTCACCACAATACAGAGCATGCCCTGGGACATGTAGAGTTTGGATAGCTTGGTTTTAAATGAAAAGGGAGATTTTCTTTCTCCTCCGGAAAGGAAACAAGTTCCCGCACCTGCTGTATCTCCTTTATGATCCCTTTAGGTAGCTGTTGCATGGTTTCCCAGGTAGAGAAGAGCTGCCTAGCTTGGCTGCCTGTTTTAATGCCATTGTGACTTTTCTGTGGGGTGCCATTGTCTGTGTAGCATATTCTGATATATAGCCCTGGTGGGAGGCATTCATCTGCCTATGCACATCTTTACTGTCTGACCACATCTCTGCTGTTGTGCAAGAGCAGCCCTGAGGCCAGAGTTACAGAACCTCATTATCTGCTTGATCAAAGGTGACTCAGCTGGGACTCTCCAGGAGAAGAATCTTGGGTGCTCTCTCCAGCTTGAACACAGTTAAGATAACCCCCATCAATCAACAAATAACCCCCAAATAACCCAAAATCTGTACCTAGGCTGGGAGGTCACCTCCTTCTTGCCCACCCTTGTGCTGCTGTGACATGACTGATGTCAGCTAAACTGTGTGCTCTGGGCTCCAACCTTGCCTTTTCATAAATGTTTTCCAGTAGGACTAGCAGCTTTTTGCAGATGACCTCTGAGTAGCCCCCACACACCATGCTAGGCTGAGTCAAATGTCTTTCTGACAACAGTGAAGCAGCTGGAGGATCAGCCTGTTTGCCTTGCAAGCAGCCACCAGCAGGATTGGATACTATGTGCCTTTTTCTCTGCTGAAGGACTCAAATAAATGTCCTTCTGTGTGTGATCTGCATTTTTGGAAGAGATCCACAAACAAGTCATTTGTTTAGCAGCCTGATTAGTGAGGCCGTCTTTGGCAAAGCCGTGGGCTTTGTTTGAATCTATATGTCCTTGAATATACCTTCCAGGCCTGGCTTTCCCCACGCTTTGCAGATCTTTCCATACACTGTTGTGTGGCTCATACTTGCCATCAACTTGCCATGATTTCTGCTGGTATGCCACTTTTTTAAATTCAGTTAGTTCCCAGGTCCAGCTAGTGGTAAGGCTGAGTGTGTGTTCCCAATAGGCACATGCACATGCATACGCATACACTCCCCTCACACATACACATATACATACACACATGGTTGGCCACATTGATTGACACAGGCAGAAAACACAGCACTTGTACAAACACAAACAGCATTAACGGCCTCATCCTGTTCTCCTCTCTGGCTGATCAGGACAGAAGCCCATTAATGGAAAATAAATATGTATTTGTATACATCTATACAATACGGATCCCTCCAGTAGCTGGTCTTAGACACTCATCCTATTCAGTAGCTGACCCCTGGATCCAAAGTCTTCCCGGTTGCTGGCACCTGGAAATGTTATCCCCAGAGGCCCGCAGCTCCACTCCAGTCGCTGGTATTCAGACCTACAGACACACACACACAAACTATGGCTCCCTTCTCCAGTAGCTGGTCTTAGGACATTCAGCCTATTCACTATCTGGCCCCTGGATCCCCAGTTGCCGCACACAGACACAAACACGCAAACAAGTCTCTCTGGTAGCTGGTCCAGGGTTGTGGCCTTACCAATAGCTGACCCTTAGACCCCACCACAGTCTCCCCAGTAGTTGGCTTGGACCCCCTGGTCCCTCCAGTAGCCACCTCACAGATTCTCTGGTCTTTTCAATATCTTACCTGGACTTATGGCTGCTCCAAAACTTGACTCCCAAGCTTCTTACCCTACTCTCCGGCTAGCCTGGCTTGGTGTTTACTAGTGACCACACACTGACATACAGATCGACATAATGTGCATGCACTCTGGTCTCGCCAGTTGCTCCATCACAGACACACAGGACTCTGTGACTTGTGGCCCCCCACTGCTAATTGCTGGCACTCAGACCACCACACACACACACACACACACGGAATATAGACCTCCTCTCACCCAGGAAAATAATTAAAATACAGTTTAATAAGACAAGACAGACTAAGGTGATCAGGTGCAAGGCATAGCCAGACAGATGTACCTGTTTACACCCAACCAGGCCATTTTAGCCCCTTTTATTTTTCCATACCAAACCACCTTTATCCCCCCTTTTCCCCACCTTTGATTCCTCCTCTAAACATCCCGTAAGTTGCCTTATACAATCCCAAAAATGCTCTTCCCCTCTAGGCCTTAGAGAGTCCCATACCCCTGCAGGCCATAACCCTTCTCTGTACAGTGATCCATGAAGCCTCTCCCATTGACTGGTGGTGACGGGTGTCACACTCGGCCCACGGGCTGATCCCTCTCTGGGAGGAGCCAGGGCAGAGGCTCCTTTTCTCTGGGTATGTTATTTGGGCTTGCCCACTTGCCACTGTTCCTCTGTGCTCCTTTGTGTTCGTGGAGATAAGCCTTGAATCACGTAACCCAGCAGTAGATCAAACCCATTTGATCATTTGAATAAAATGGTATCTTGAGAATAAAAGTAAGAAGGAAAAAATGGACATAGGTAGGCCAGTGAGGGGGTAAAAGAAGCAATGAGAGCGTATTGTAGTAAAGTCTTTAGTCCATGTGCCTCCCAAAAAGCCATATAGGTTGCACTACCAGTATCTGTCATCTTTGAAAGGTTTCTCTACTGTTTGGGAGCAGCAGTTGGTCAAACACCATTTAGAGGCCAAAACTTCACCCAGTTTCCCACATGTACAAAGTAACCCACTGAAGTACGTGTAAGACTGTAGAACCGTGTGCTTGATGATGGTGAGCAAATTTACCCAACAAATTTACATCTCACTTGTACACATTTTATAGCTATGTAAATATGTTCTAGTATTCAGTCAGACCTGAATCAACCTGCAGCTTCTCCGTGTTTTATTGCTAGTAATCTGAAAGAAGCAACACCCGTTTGTTGGTCATTGAACCAACCTTCAAATCCTTTTCATCCATGCTTCTGTTTACTTAGTAGTTCAGCTGACTTTGGAGGTGGAGGTGCCATTATAACCCGTGTCCACAAAAGCCTACACATTCTCTTTAAGTCTTCACAGGCTTGGTCCGGGATTTTAAAGGCGCTTAGGTGTTTCAAAATCCTACTAGGTACTTAACTGCTATGGATTACTTCTGGATGTATTTTAAACCCCCACTAAACACCTCTTGGAAATTTAAGGCACCTAAATGTCTTCAAAGATTTCTCTCTATGTGCTTTGTCTGACTGAGTCCATGAGATTCATCCTATAAATAGATTAACACAGGAACACGCTGTAAATTCTGTACAATGGATTTTCACTTGTTGTATTTGGCTGTGTAGTCTCTTTCTCAGATACCTATAATATATATTGACTCCTAACCTTCATAACTCAGTCTTTTTTTCTTCCCATTCACTTCATAGGCTGATTTTATATTTAGAGTATGCCTTTTTTCACCATGCACAAAATAGGAAGAAAGCTTTCTTAAGATTTCACTTGCAGATTTATTCCCTTCATTGTTTTTCCTTTTTTCCCTCCTTTTACAATTTTAACTCCACTTCTGTTGTTAAAAAAAAAATCAGTTAATATATTCAACCTGAAAA